AAATTAAACAATTATTATGTAAAAACTATCGAACCGAATTGGATGAAATTTGGTGTGATGATTCTATGCACTAAGAAGTTTAATTGGGAAAAGTATGAAGATCCTAGGTATTATTCAAGTGTCTGAAAAAAATTGACAAATAAACTAGCATTTTTTGCAATTTTTTAAATGATTTTTCCGATTTTTGCAATAATAATAATTATTTTTTCGAATAGCAACTAACTCTATCTTATTCAAAATTTAATTACAAAACTTTTTTTCCTCTTCCATTTTTGTCTAAAATGAATAGTTGCTAAGTTTTCGACGAGAAACCCAAGAAATAAATGATTTTTTTTTGCTATTTTTTATACTTTTTTGCAATAACAATTAAGCCCACGTTTTTTTTATTTGCATAGAAAAATTATCATTTCTGATGTTATTTAGAAGCCGTTAAAGCAAAAATCTCCGATCATATGCATTTTACCCAACCCAAAACAGATACCGCCTGGACTATGATATTCAGGTTTAGTTTATGGGCAATGGATTCAATATATTTGACCTCGAATTGACTTTCACCCAGAACTAATCGGCTCAAACGGACACCAAATTCGGATTCAGCAACGTATAGATATGTAGATTTACTTTGTTGGCAATTGATTCTCTAATTTGACCTTGAACTGATCTTAACCCAGATCTGATCGGGTTAAACGGTCACCAGATTCGGATTCGGTAACCCCAAAAACGTATAGAATGTAGGTTTATTTTGTTGGCAATCGATTTTCTACATTTAACCTTAAACTCACCTTAACCCAGACCTAATCGTATCAAACGACCACCGGATTTGGATTCAGCGACCCCAAAACATGTGGATGCCATGGTCTTGGTCTCCCACTTTTTTTGTGGGGCTGTGTTGTCCTACATTTGACCATGAAATTGACCTTAAACCAGAGCTAATAGGGTCAAACAGCAAAATAAATAACTATCGTCCTGTTACATTACTGCCAGTTTTGGAAAAAAATTATTCGTGAGAGGATTACAAGATGCTGTTGGACAATCAAACCTCAATTATCAATTTGGCTTCAGAGAAAAAAACTTCATCTATTCATCCACCTACAATAGTAATTTGACCTGCTGCATTGCAAGATATAAGTAAAGCTCTTGATACAGCATAGAATGCAGGTCTTTCTTAAAAACTTCGTGTCTTAATTATCCAAAATATCTAATTTGACTTACTCAAAAAAAACTTAAATAAAAGGACACAACATTTCTATATAATATTTACTGTCAGGACACTATGTCCGAATCTATACATTCTTCAATATGATGATGATACTGCTTTGATAAGCCACCATTTCAACCTAAATTTAACTATACAAGAACTTCAGAAGCTTCTTAATTCGATACAAAACTGGTGCAACAAATGGCATATTAAAATCAGTCAAACCAAATCTCACTTTCCTACTGTCTAACTCGTTAGTCGTATGTAATTTATGGTTTTTCTTACTGCATCATTTACAAAACGACTTTTTACGTTTATTAGCTTCTGATTTAACTTTACAACGAGTTGAAGAAAGCTCCTGATTTTTTTTTGTCTCAGGCAATTAGATATAATCAACGTTATGGTCTACGATTTTTACGGTTCTCAGGATACATATGCTGCTCATTTTGCACCACTGACTGCATCGAGCACTGGTGATAGTGGAAATGCTACTTTGAATGTCGTAAGTAACATAGGACGAAATTAAAATATCACGAGGAAATAAACAATTATTGTTCTTTATAGAAATCTGGTATCGAGCACTGGATAAACCAAGGAGCCGATCCAGCTAAGATACACCTTGGAGTCGGCACTTATGGCAGAACTTTCACATTAGCTGATCCAGATAACGCAGCACTTTATGCCCCTGTTACCGGTCAGGGAACAGCTGGTCCATATACGAATGAAGACGGTTTTCTAGGGTATAATGAGGTGAGTTAAATGAATTAGTACATACTTACCTTCTACACCAGTCCTAATTACAGATTATAATGACTTTAATATTAGTATTTGCCACCCTTTCTATTGTACTTCGGATATAAATAATTTATTTCCAGATTTGTGAATTATATAGTAACTGGACCTATGTCTGGGACGTCGACCAACAGGTACCCCACAAGGTGTCTGGCGATCAGTGGGTTGGTTACGAAGACGAGAGCTCTGTCGCTCTGAAGGCTGCGTATGCCAACGAGAAAGGTTTGGGTGGTATGATGGTATGGACTCTCGACACCGACGATTTCCTTGGTAGTTGCGGAGGCCAAACTTACTCACTTATACGTGCAATGAACATAACATTGAACAACATAACTAGTTCGTAATAAAATAAAAAGTTTTATTGACAGCATTCATTGTTTTATCTGAAGGGGTGGTCATAATTACAGCTTGACAGATGTATTCATTCATAACTAGTTCGTAATAAAATAAAAAGTTTTATTGACAGCATTGATTGTTTTATCTGAAGAGGTGGTCATAATTAGAGCTTGACAGATGTATTCATTGCTTTGTTTGTGGTCACATTATGACTTCTTGCGGATCATAAATCTTCTCTTTGTTTAGGACACAATGGAATTACTATAAAGCATCCTTTATCCTTTAATTGTTAATTTAATTGTTTGAACTATCAAAGCAAATACATGACAAACTGAGCCTTCATAAAAGATTACAAGCCATGTGATTTTATTTCCTTTAATTGGAATTGGTAATTAAACAATAAGATCAAGATTACATTAAAACACATCATTCTTTTTTATTGGTCTAATCTCTAAAATTTAGGGATTTTAAGTTGGCAGTATCAGTCGTGTAATGTTGGTTGCCTAAACTCGACGGTCACGTGGCTTGCAATCATTTATGAAGGTTCTGAATATCACAGTAATTAGAAAAAAATATAAATTAAAAATACAAACGGATCTAACTTTTATTAAAAAAACAAAAGTTTGTATTATATCTTCGAAATTAAAACAGTGATTTTTTTTATATATACTTCTTTGAAACAGCATGAAAATTTCCTAAAATTTTGGTCTTTACCATTTTTTCGTAGACAGAAATTTAAAAAAGGTAAGTAAATAGAATGTTATTTGAATGACAGCACCCCAGATTTCAGAGGTAAATTGAACGTTAAATTTAACTGAAATAGTTCTAAAAAGTGATCAAGAATTAAACAATAAAATTATAAAAATAAAATAAATTGGCAGGAATAAAGTGCGAATTGTTTTCAGAAACTATGATGCGGTCAGTAAATTAATATCTTCTTTACGCTGACTCAACGGAAATATGCAGCAAATTTTATCATTAAATAATTTAAATACCTACAAATAACGTGTAGATGAATATAATCTCGTAACTTCCCATTTTCTAAAATCAAATTTATTTAATAAAATATTATAAAATGTGGTAAATATGATAATATTTTCTTTAATATACCTAGATTTTTACATTCATTCGATTTGTTCTTTATACACTTCATATTATTTTTTCTTTACAAACAGACGCAATAGAAAAATACAAAGCCACATTAATAGATAAACAATATTGTTCCAACCACTGAAATATATTAGCTAGACCTTTTTGCAAAAGTAACAATCAGACAATGATTCAATTCTTTTGTAAATTTTAAAATCATCTGCAAATAACTCACAGTATAAATATACATACAAAAATAATGGTCCCAAATCGGATTCTTGTGGTACCCCAGACAATGTGAAAGATTTAAAAGATTATGCGCCTCTATAGATGACATACTGTTCTTGATTTAGTAAATAAGACACATAATTCTAGTAAATTACTTATAAAAAAAGTTATTTAATAAAGTTTTCTCATCAGTATATGTGATTAAGTTAACCATTACGAATTCTCCTAAACTTTTTCCTAATCTTTCCTTTTTATATATGAAATTGTTTCTTGTTATACCATTGCAGATAAGTTCTTTTTCTAAAAACAGCAAATGGTAGACATTTATTTAAAACTTCGTAAACATTTTGTGAATTATACATGTCCTTCCAAATCCAACATTTTTAGGTAATAAGTAGTACATTTAAAAATAACACCGGCACACAAAGAAAGGCTTTATGTAATTTGACGTACTGATTCCGAATGTGAAGTTTGTTTAGCTCAAACACCCCCAAAATTTTGAGTAATTTGCCAAAAAATAGTGAAAAACCGCTGAAAATTACGTTAGTGAGTTGAACTTGATCAAGTGGGTTTCTTATGTATTTTGATGTGATTCAAATCGGAAGTCCTTTAGGCTGCACCCCCCCAGATTTTGCAAAATCGCAAAATAATAGCGAAAAATCACCAAAAATAGTGAAAAATCGCAAACAATTACATTAATGAGAGTGAGAAAATTTAGAAAGAGGTTTCTAGATTGGATAAAGTACTCTTCTCATAAATTTCGAATCGGGTCTAATTTGAATCTAAAATCTGTTGAGCCTCATTACTCAAAAATTTTGCAAAAATCGCAAAATATAGCAAATATTATGGAAATAGAAATTCAACTGACTTGAACCAGGCTTTCCTTGATGTTGCTTTTACACTTTTCTTCTCTTGTAGCGAACTCTTTTCTCTTCGAATGACCTAGGTAACGGGTTGCTTTTTCTTCCCTCTATTCTGATTCGTTTCTCTCAATAGAAATCTACCATCATGCTGACATCCCGTCTTCCTTGGTATCGATTCTCGATTTCACTTATATCTTGAAGAAATTTTTCTTTCACTGTAGCCTACAAGGTTTTGAGGAAAATAGTCAAGGTGAGAGTGTAGGAAGTGCAATTTAAGATTCATCAAGCAACCTAACTGTTTGAAATTTTCAATATCTCTTCAATCAAATTTTCGTAATTCCACTCTTCTCATTTCCTAAAAGGTTCCGATTCTAGAAACTCTGCCATGCTGCTTTTTCAGTATTAATCATCTTTGTAATAACATTTTCGTTTGGAAAAAGAATATGAATTTGAGGACCATCAGTAGTTGTTCTAGGAGAGAATGAAGCCACTTCAAGGTCACTCCAGGCTGCCACCGGGCTGCCGCCATCCGGAGCCGGCACCAGGTCTCCAGCAGCAGCTCCAAGGTCACGCTGAAGAAGTGTCAGTGGGGTGCGGGGGTGGGGGATCTGGATTGCAGAAGAAGAAGCCGGGGTCCGTCATCGGCAATGACCAGGAGGTCTGCATCGAGGAGCGTGACGTCAGAGGCGGCACCAGGTGAGTGCATGAGCAGCGGCGGGGGGGCAGCGGGGTGCAGGTGCGGAATGCAGAAGAAGAAGCCGGGGTCCGTCATCGGCAATGACCACCAGGAGGTCGGCATCGAGGAGCGTGACGTCAGAGGCGGCAGCAGGTGCATGCATGAGCAGCGGCTAGGGGCAGCGGGGGGCAGGCGCCTGGGGCGGCAGCGGGGTGCCGGCGTGTGGGGTAGCAGCGCGATGCCGGCTTCCGACAGCGGGATGCCCGCGTCATAGGGGGGAGCAGGTGGCCGTATACGGCCTACGATGCTGGAAACCGGCAGCGGGCTGCGGGGGGCGGCGGCGGCACCGGTGACGGCCTCTTGGTATAAATCTTTTTGTTATAAGGTAGAAAATATAAGAAAC